TGTAGAATCCTGTCGACTTAACCGTTCTGTGACAATATCGTTGCGGAATTTCTTGTTGTTCGATGAGAATGGGTGAGATTTGGTTGAAACGCAGTCGTTTGAGTGGAAGTTGAAGCACACAGTTAGGAATAATCAGGACACGTGATGGGGTTTGAAAATAAAAGGCAACTGGGTTGGAGGAAAGAAAGCTTGAGAAGAGCGGAGCGATTTTATTGTTAATTATCTGATCACATGGTGGTGATTGTACTTAGCTACGGGATGAGCAGAGGGAGAGAGGTCCAGAGCCGATGTCACCTTGTTGGAAGCCAAAACTCTACTGACAATTCTTGTCTTTCGATTTAACACCACGAGTTGTCTTCCTTCCCATTGGTCGAAGGATGGGACGTGCCCGTTTTCCTATTGGTTGACCTACTTAGTGGTTGCTTCCTAATTGGACCGGCGGCTGCTTTGATGGAAGATACGCCCGGCCTGGGTCAGGAAGTATCGTGTTAATTCGACTCTATTTTACTTCCGCGGTATCAAATACGTCCGGTCTTGTTCCGGAAATTGGGCGTCTCTCAAACTTTTATAACTTCTGGTCACCAGATACGTCCTGTCTTGTCCGGAAATATTGGTTTAAACTTAGCTCGCAGGGTTTCCGGGGTCAGAAGGTTAACTGTGACGTTATTAATAATTATGTTCTCTTCTAGATCTACCTCCTATGTGTTTTTGTTACTTTCTTTCCTCCAGTTACCTCATTCTTTATTAAATCTTTGAAAATCATACATTGTACATGCATAGTGGGTCGGGGGGGCATACAATTATATACAAATTATGACATATATAATATAATTGGAAATTCTCCTTTATAGAAACCCTTCTAGAATTAAATAAAGAATCACAATATTGGTTATTAACTTTTTCACACACGCACCATGCTATTTATCCAACACATTAAAGGTATCAGCGCAAAACAAATGATATGTGCAAATTTTATAATTTTTATTTTACTTTATCTCTATCTCTTTGAAATACATCATAAAATTCTTGACCAAATTATATCATTGTTGTTTAGGGTTAGGGTAATAATCTGATATATAACATTCAACAATGGTAAAAAAAAGTTAAGGAATTCTAAAAGTACAAAAAGAATTTGATAGAGAGAGAGAATAAAATACCAAATCAATACGAGAAGAATCCCAGGATTAAAATACATTCAAAAGAACTATTTAAAACGTTTCTTGTTGATATAAAATATTTGAGTTTAGGCTTAGCAATAAACATTCAGATAGTTTCCGGGTAATTGATACACGCCAGGGATCAACTCCTTTAGCAACAGGGAGCTCAAAGATCGATTCGTAGAAAAAGCAGACGATATATGCGCCGTGTTGCTGAGCATTTTATAGCGGCTCGTTGCACCAATCACAGAGTGGATTAACCTAAATTAGAGGATCTATTTTTATGTAGTTTTATAGAACTGATAAAACCTCCATTTCTCCTCATTTTCTCAAATAAACCACAAGATCCTTTTTTTAAAGAATGCTTTATATCTTCTGGTTTTTTTTACATAAAGCCATTTCTCCATTTAACTTTTATTGATGAGATTCTTTGACGTCTAATGATTGTTAGCTGTATCTCTTGGCAACGTATTTGTTTTGTATAAAATTTATTATAATAATTTAAACTCTATTCTCAAAATATATCGAAATTTATATATATTAGATAATAAAAAGGCATATATTGGATTTAAATATGGATTGCTCTATTTTCAAAATATTATATATATCTGAAATTTCGAAACTATTATAGACGCGTATGATTCTTTTAAACATTAAACAATATCTACTGTCCTTACTGTAATGGAAAAATTATTATATAATAATAAATTATATATTATATATTTATAATTGAAAAAAATGATAGAAAAAAACAGGCTAAATCAATGTTTAGTTGATTTCTGTTCCACCAGATGGCGCTCTGCCTTCTGTAAAACACATGTGCTCCTGGTAAAATTCTTATTTCTAATTTTTAAAAGTTTATGTCCATAGTTCATCTAAAATACCCATTCCAAGAGTCTAGCATCAGTATCACTATAAAAGGAAAACCGAAAAATGTAATATAACAGTGGTATGGTAGATTAAACTGATGGAACCGCTGGGAGGGTTCACCACTGATGAGTCAGGCCCTCCCATTAATTTTTCCATTACAGTAAGGGCAGTAGAGAAAATTGTTTAATTTTTAAAAGAATCTTAAGCGTCTATAATAATTCCGAATTCGCATAACTATACTGTCTTTATATGTTCTCATAAGAAGCACCGTTTATAAATGTATTAAAACAATGCATTTGTGTTCATCACATCAGTGCAAATGGCAAAGGTTGAATAGAATAAGACTGATATGCCATTTCTGGAAAATTCTAAACAGCAACTTTTGCGTTTTATTTATGCATTGTTTAAATTCAATTTAAAAGGAAGAGGTGTCCCTTTTTCGGTACATTAAAAGTATCCTTCGGCAAATTTGCATCTATACATGTAGAAACAAAATTGGCATTATCAAATTGTTAGATCATGGAGGAGGACTCTCTCAAGGTGGGGAACCTCTCTTGATGAAGAAATGTGTACATATATAACTACTAGATATAAAAAGGCATATATTGGATCGAATAAAAGATTTATTCGCCAATATTTCGGCTGGTTGAACGCCAACATTTATCGAGGCATTACATTTTTGTATACACAAACTCAGCGCCGCATAGTGTTATAATATCTATGTTTTTGTCTATGTATCTGAGTTTGTATATACAAAAATGTAATGCCTTGATAAAGGTTTGGCATTCAGCCAGCCGAAATATTGGCAAATAAATATTTTATACAATCCAATATATTAAAGGTAAAGTATATGCCTTTTTTTTTTCTCTCTCTATCCAAGAGGCTACAGAAGCTAAGTGGAGCTTTAGATATACATTTATTAGATAGTAAAAATACATATATTGGATTGAATAAAAGATTTATTTGCCAATATTTCGACTGGCTGAACGCCAACCTTTATCGAGATATTACAGGCGTCGCTGAGTTTGTGTATACAAAAATGTAATGCCTCGATAAAGGTCGGCATTCAGCCAGCCGAAATATTGGCAAATAAATCTTTTATTCAATCCAATATATATGTCTTTCTACTATCTAATTATTTAAGTATGGATTGCTCTATTTTCAAAAATATATATACAACTGTATATGCTATATATTTAAATCTCCTAAATATCAATTAAAGATTTCGTCAAACTTCACTTGTGAACTGATAGCTATCTGGAAAGCCCTTGATGTATGCCTGAACCAACCATCCCTGCATCAAGCAGAAGGAATCATAATATACAACGACTCCAGATCCGCTCTAGAAGCAATTCAGAAGGGCAATACTAGAATCACGCAGAAAATACACTCATTACTTACCCAACTGGAAACATTGGAGAATAACTGCATTCTACAATGGATTCCTGCCCATGTTGGGATCGAGGGTAATGAAATGGCAGATGAATTGGCAAAGGAAGCCAGAAAGCTGAGCCAAAGGAAAGAACAAATGTCAGTATTTGACGCTGATGCTTTGGCAAAATACAAGATAATCAAACAAAAAATAAGAAAAGATCAAATATGTGAAATAAACTCTGAGAGAAAACTGACAAAAACTATAACAAGATTTAGAACAAAACACTATAAGGGAATGACAATACATCCAGATGGCACAAGAACTTATAAAGCATGCAACAACTGTCCTAGTGTGGAACTAACACCTACTCACATATTCTCATGCCCAGCAATGGCCGCAGCCTTGCAGAAAATTGACTTAGACCCAGAGCAGCAGCTTTACACACCCAAGATAATGGATATTGCTGCTGCTGTGTTGGAGATGCATGGAGACATCTGAGACTCTTCATTGGACACGACAACAACAACAACAATTAAACAAGTCAATAAGTCTCCTGAGATGGGGTTCTTTCTATTGCCAACTCTAGCTTTCGTAGCCCATCTACAGGAGCACAAATATACAATAATAACACAACTATATCTATATTTTTCTACATTTTATATACCACTTATTTACTCCTTTATTTTATATTATCCTTCATTTGATCTTTCTTTCTGTAACGAGGGGTTAGACAATTAACAATTAAAATAATTTTATTGATATCTTGTCAATACATGCAAAGTACACAGTCTGTACTATTTAAAAAAGATAATTACATATATACACTATGTACAATGAATATGGCGTCTCTGCCAGTGCTGCAGAGTTTGGTGGAGAATCACCAGCGGGTCACCAGCGACACCACGTATTTCGTGATCTACGAAGAATACGTACTTCACCGCTGAGGAGATGGTGATGGTCCTCATGTGGTTAGAAAAATCAATATTATTGTTTAAATCAAAAAATAAAAAAAGGTTTCCCGAGATGAATTTATTTAAATTTCAAATACCATCTCAAGCTTTCGGGGAATCTGTGTCCTTCTACAGGAGAACTTATTTATTGATTGTATTATTCTTTGTATAGATGGAAATTTTTGCCGGGAGGATATTGATTTAAAAAGACAAAGGTCGCCTCTCCCGTCAAAATAGACGTCAAAACTAGACGCCATCTATTGACCGTCATCGCAAACTAGCGGTCTCGGGTCGGTGACAAAGCCACAACACCAGCTTTGGCAAACTGAAAAGCGTCCACCTAGAGACCATGGTTTCGGGCTAATGTGTATGTTCTTCTCTGTGGAATGGCAGAGATGTCTGAAAGCTTAAGATGGTATTTGAAATATAAAGAAACTCAGCAGTAGAAACCTTTTTTAATTGTTTGATTGATGTCAAGGAGATGTAATATAATATGTTTAAATATATTTGACCATCGACCAACATTGTTGTTTTTTATACATATGAAAAATACATCTAAATTCACATTGAGGGTGGATGGTCTAAACCGTTAGTTTTCGACCGCTACGACCCGGGTTCGATTCCCGCATTGGGCACTTTTTTTTTTAGGTCAAGATGGCCGAATGGTCTAGGCGCTGCGTTCAGGTCGCAGTCTCATCTTGTTAGCGTGGGTTCGTACCCCACTTCTGACAATTTTTTTAACAACTGCCCTCCTGCAAGGTTCGGGGGGCCACTCCAGCATTACAACTCGCCATGTGTAAATAATCTGGACAAGGTGACTCGCGAGCTGTGCTCGAATGTAACACCTGCAAATTGAGATGAAATAAATAAATTTAAAAATATTACATTATTAGTATGCTGCACTTTGTTCACTCAAGATAAATAAAATAAGTCTTTTAAATAAAAATATATCTTTCATCAATAATAAGTATAAACAAAACATATTACAATTTGTATCAATTTATTGTTTAAATTGTCAAAGAAAGTGTTGTTATCTCAACGGGATCTGTAGCCACAATGGTACTTCAGTCATAGAAGGTAACTCCGATAACTCTTCCACGTGGAGAGAATTTTCAATTGAAACCAATTTATTTCCAATATCTATTTGATATGTATGGTGAGATTAAATAAAACTTCAATTGTGTGAAACTACAATATGTATTCCATTTCTAACTCTCTTGTCTATTTGTGGAATTTGAAATGTTTAAAATACAATATAACGCGGCTGATGATTGTAAAACGAAAATTGCAATTATACCGCGAATGTTTCTTTTTTAAACAAAAATCGAAATTTATTTTAAAGAGAAATAACGACTATTTCTAACTTTAAGGATGAAGTATGAAAGGGTGAAAATATGAAGAGTAATGGCGAAGGGAAAAATAAAAGTGTCCAGGGGCGGGAATCGAACCCACGACCTTCCAATATGTTATTGTTGTTACTCACAATTCCCAACCTCAGAAACATACGTGAATAAAGATTCGAAAATATTATAGTCGCGTATGATTCCTTTGAAAATTAAACAATTTCTACTACACTTACTGCAATGGAAAATTAATGGAAGGGCTTGGCTCATCAGTGGTGAACCCTCCCAGAGGTTTCGCCAATACGCATCATAATACGCGAAAAAGAGTATATAGGTTGTGTGAAGTGTGGACATACGGTAGGAAGTGGAAAGTCTTTGTGTTTTTTAAGGGAACAGAGGCAATTTTGTTCACTATATAATTATTCTTAAACAATGCTTATTCCCATTAAATATAGCGCGTTATGCATAATCCTATTATAGCAAAATATATAATTTAGAAATAATTATTTGTAAAGTTTTATTTATATATATAACACACCGATCCATTTTTATTTTATAAAATGAATATTTAGTGTTGTATGCGATTCCAATTGTTTCTTTATAAGTGTGGACAAAACTTATGGAAGTGGAAGGTCTTTGATGTCGCCTGACGTCTGTTTTTTGTTTTAGAAGGAGACAGAGGTTGTTCACAGTTGGTTATCTCGTGTGTCTTCAATAAAGGTCACTGTAATATTTTTCAGAGTTACTGTCTGAATCCCGATATACATACTAAAAGGTACAACTTCCTTAAGTTTTGTCCATGAGTGTATCTTTCAGAGGTATTGTCTCAATCCCGATATACATGCTAAAAGGTACAACTTCCTTAAGTTTTGTCCATGAGTGTATCTTTCAGAGTTATTGTCTGAATCCCGATATAAATGCTAAAAGGTACAACTTCCTTAAGTTTTGTCCATGAGTGTATCTTTCAGAGGTATTGTCTCAATCCCGATATACATGCTAAAAGGTACAACTTCCTTAAGTTTTGTCCATGAGTATATCTTACAGAGTTATTGTCTGAATCCCGATATACATGCTAAAAGGTACAACTTCCTTAAGTTTTGTCCATGAGTGTATCTTTCAGAGTTATTGTCTCAATCCCGATATACATGCTAAAAGGTACAACTTCCTTAAGTTTTGTCCATGAGTATATCTTTCAGAGTTATTGTCTGAATCCCGATATACATGCTAAAAGGTACAACTTCCTTAAGTTTGGTCCATGAGTATATCTTTCAGAGTTATTGTCTGAATCCCGATATACATGCTAAAAGGTACAACTTCCTTAAGTTTGGTCCATGAGTATATCTTTCAGAGTTATTGTCTGAATCCCGATATACATGCTAAAAGGTACAACTTCCTTAAGTTTTGTCCATGAGTGTATCTTTCAGAGTTATTGTCTGAATCCTGATATACATGCTAAAAGGTACAACTTCCTTAAGTTTGGTCCATGAGTATATCTTTCAGAGTTATTGTCTGAATCCCGATATACATGCTAAAAGGTACAACTTCCTTAAGTTTGGTCCATGAGTATATCTTTCAGAGTTATTGTCTGAATCCCGATATACATGCTAAAAGGTACAACTTCCTTAAGTTTGGTCCATGAGTATATCTTTCAGAGTTATTGTCTGAATCCCGATATACATGCTAAAAGGTACAACTTCCTTAAGTTTGGTCCATGAGTGTATCTTTCAGAGTTATTGTCTGAATCCCGATATACATGCTAAAAGGTACAACTTCCTTAAGTTTGGTCCATGAGTGTATCTTTCAGAGTTATTGTCTGAATCCCGATATACATGCTAAAAGGTACAACTTCCTTAAGTTTGGTCCATGAGTGTATCTTTCAGAGTTATTGTCTGAATCCCGATATACATGCTAAAAGGTACAACTTCCTTAAGTTTGGTCCATGAGTGTATCTTTCAGAGTTATTGTCTGAATCCCGATATACATGCTAAAAGGTACAACTTCCTTAAGTTTTGTCCATGAGTGCATCTTTCAGAGTTATTGTCTGAATCCCGATATACATGCTAGAAGGTACAACTTCCTTAAGTTTTGTCCATGAGTGTATCTTTCAGAGTTATTGTCTGAATCCCGATATACATGCTAAAAGGTACAACTTCCTTAAGTTTGGTCCATGAGTGTATCTTTCAGAGTTATTGTCTGAATCCCGATATACATGCTAAAAGGTACAACTTCCTTAAGTTTTGTCCATGAGTGTATCTTTCAGAGTTATTGTCTGAATCCCGATATACATGTGTAGCGGCTCCCATATATTAACATTAATATCATATTAATTGTTGTCATATCAATATAATAAAATAATTATACATCATTTTAAATATAAAACATAAAAAATATAAAATGTAAATATTTATCTATAATATATCAAACACATATATCTAACATTATATAATCTAGAAATGATATTTGACCACACACATATATATAACAAAAGAACTTCAACGTGTAATATACAACAATTTAAACTCTTCTGATAATTTGTATAAATAAATGTAATTAAAAGTTGATTTTAAAATAAATAATTTGTTATCTAACTCCGCTTATAAATCCAGGTCGCCCACATAAATTGGTGAGCCGGACAAAAGAACCAGCACAACGAATTGATAAAATGAAAAGTGAGGAAACTGAGAAAGTTGAGACCTATAAGGTAAATATTAAACTTTCACCTTTCTGGATTGAAAGACCTGATATATGGTTCCATCAAGTGGAGGCTCAGTTCTTGATAAATAATATATAAAGACAGAAAATACGAAATTCAATTATTTAATCGCTCAATTGGAACCAAAGTATGTCGAAAACCTCTGGAATATAATTACCTCTAAATATATAAATATTCAGAGGCAAAAGAGAGACTTCTCAGAATATTTAAAGATGGCGAATCAAAAAGAATTCGAAAACTGCTATCGGGAATTGAACTAGCTGATCTAAAGCCTAGCCAGCTGTTGCAGAAATTGAAATCATTAGCAACAGAGGACTTATCCGATAAATTTATAAAGACGCTATGGCTCGAAAAACTACCACAGGCAATTCAGCAAATTTTAATAATTAGCGAGGAAGAGCTCGACAAATTGGCAGTAATGGCTGATAGAATAGCCGAATTAAACCCCAAGGCGGAGATTTACGAGGCAGATAAACCGGAGAATGAAACAAAAATGTTATTAAAAAAAATAGAATCTCTGGAACAGAAAATAGAAAGTATAAAAATGGAGCATCAAGGTAGATCTCGTGACCGAAGTTCACGTGATTATCGCTACAATGCACGCTCCCGTTCCCGATCTAAGGGCGAATATAATCCAAACCACATACAATCCACCACCTTGTACAATAACATTCCCAGTAAACACCAGAGATTAATCATAGAGGCCATTTTATCCATTTCTAATGACAGTATTAATCGACATATAGATTTACCTAACCAATATCATGATATATGTATTAACTTAAAAACCGATAAACCCCCTCCCCCCCCCCCCCCCCCCCCCCCCCCCCCCCCCACCTCACATTACTTTCCCGAATTCACGTTTTATCGCGGCCAGGCTGCAGTTGTATCATTTTTGTTTAAAGCTCAGTTTGTTTTCCTATTTTAATAGTCAATTATTCTTTTTATTACCTGTTGAAGGGCGTGACTGCCCGAAAGCTTGTCACAAGTTTAATTGAATAAAAATATTTTCTCCTTACTCTTCTTTATCGTTTATACAATCTATGGAGAAAGTTTTCAAGTAATTTTATAAGACCGTTTATTCCAGAAAAATTTCGAATTCAAATCTTTCATCAATTTCTCGATTTAAATCATCCGGGTATAAAGGCTACAATTAATCAACTTAAATCAAAATTTATCTGGAAAGAAATAAAAAAAGACGTTCGAAAATGGTCCCAGGCTTGCATTAATTGTCAAAAAAACAAAGGTAACGAGGCACACAAAATCCCAAATTGGTACATTTCAAGAGCCCGACGAAAGATTCAGTGTGATTCATATTGATTTAATTGGGCCACTACCTCCATCAAATGGAAAGTATTATTGCCTCACTTGCATTGACAGATATACGTCCTGGATGGAAGTGATACCCTTGGAGAACATAACATCTGAGAGTGTAGCCCTTGCCTTTTATAATAACTGGGTGTCAAGATTCAGAACTCCCTACACTATAGTTTCAGATCAGGGAAGACAATTTACATCTCAAGTATTCAAAGATCTTGCAGCTATATGCGGTACGAAACTGCTACATACTACTCCTTACCATCCTCAAAGTAATGGTAAAATTGAACGTTTTAATCGGACACTTAAAACTGCTATTAAAGCTCATAATTCAGTCAAATGGACCGATTCTCTGCCG